CAGAGGGTACGACAAGCATAATCCATCCCGATGTTACCACCGCTCACCAAATTTCGACGAGAAGTCGACAGCGCAGCCGAGGAGTGTCGAAAGCATAGGAGTAGCAGGCTGGGGATTCAAAAACTTTCGACAGGAGGTGTAGAGAAGCATTCTCTGACAGCTGCCGAATTTTTTTCCCATCTCCGACTTCGACAGCCTGTGTGGCGAAGAGGAAATGTTGAAAATCGAATTTTAGATAGTGGTGCGGCAAGACCCTTATTCTGAGGGTCTCGCTCCACTACTGTCCACTGTACAATTTTTCGGACAGTTGGTGGACTGTTGTCAGAGCGAAAAATTGTACAGCGGACAGTGGAAAATGCGACATCGCTCCACTTACTGTCCGCTGTCCACCTCTCAAATTCGTGGCTTCACTACCAGACACAGTGATAGCTCTACAAGACAGGACGTCCATAGGGTTYTGTCCGCCCAAACTCCAGGTGTACTGTCCAAAATCGGGTCCTCACGGTGAGTCCCTTGAAGGACTTTCYSCGTAACSAATTTTGCAGGCTGGGAGCTGTACATTCACGGACAGTAGACTTTCGACGGGGTTTCCAAAAACTGTCCAAGCCATTTTGCACATGTACAGTGGACAGTAAGTGGAGCGAAGTACGACTGTCCGTTTTTGTACAGTGGACAGTAGTGGAGCGAGACCCTGAGTCTCCRGCATCCGGTATGGCGAAGGCGGCCATCGTGTCGAAAGGGTGAATGTCGAAAAATGGTCTGACAGTTGTSGAATATGGCGAGGCCCTAAATAAGCTGCACGCTCTGACTATGCCTCCACSCTAACAAAGAAAGAGGAGAMGRAAACAGTCCGCAAGGCCAAAMACCTCAACAATGCAACCAAAACCACCACCACTACTGAGAAGTAGCCTTCACATCTATACCCAAACAATTCGACCATCCTCCTGTTCTAACTACRGTCTTCCCTCGAATACAACATACGGTCATTATAGCTGAATYTAGACCCAAAGATGCACCAAATTCGGCAATAATGACTGTGCGTTGTATTCGGGGGAAGACTGTAGTACTCTTAACTCCTATTAGCTATGTGGTTACCCACCTAAGCACGGCGGTAGGGGTCCCAGCCAGGATCCCTTCAAACCTGCTGACACTCGGACGTCCCTGGGACCACCTGTGTGGGAGAGCCCACTAGCCTGCCTGCCCACTGCCGCAATTTAACCGAGTGCCCTGGTATAGSGAAGGCCCTTGTTCTTRCTTACTATAAAACCGCTGATTCAGTTCCAGCTTGCCTTTGTCTGAGATACTTGCTAGGCCCTTTCCTATACACCAAGTCTTGACAAACCACTGCCTCCCTGGTCCTTCCTTTCCGCAACCTTTCCTTCTCCAATCCGCCTGAATTGCCCTTCAAGCAAAAGTTGCTTACCGACAAAGAAATTCGGCACGGCTTCCGGACTCACTTGATAGACAATTATGGGAACTGAGAGGATACAGGGGTAAAATACTGTTTCGGTGCGGGCTACGAAAGTGGTACCAAATCGAGGCAAACTCTGAATACTGGGTACGAACAAGAAACTGTGAGGATGTTTCAACACGGCGGAGTCTGAGCTCCCGTGCAGACTTTGCAGACAGAGCTTCGCTGCAGACGAGAGCTTCTTATCTTTCATCGACCGAGACTTCTCGCTTCTGTGGCGACTCTATCTCTCCTCCTCCTCCTCCTCCTCCTCCTCCTCCTCCTCCTCCGCCTACAGCTTTCCACTGCCACTCTCGTTGCAGGATCAGAGTCATCAGACCACATACTGTATGCTGACAGCGACGGACTTAGGCCATACTCACACCACTGACACCAGCACTTTCCTAAATGCAGCCCCCGTGGGCTGGGGAGGGTTCCAGGTCTGGTTGGTGTTTCCCCGTACTATACAGACGAGCGAGGGGATGAGATAGATGAGGAAAAGATGTGCAAAGAAAGATTGAGAGAAGAATATAGATTAGTTAAAAAAATAAAAATAAAAAAATTCACCTCACTGCAATTACGGCTGGACGTGCAGGAATMAGACTGCAATCGCGTCCAGAGCTCTGTAGAAAACGTTCCTAGTCTGAGGGTCTCGCCGCACGGCACATGAAACGAGTACGAAACGAGTGCATCTGCCCAGCAAAGGTGGCAAAATACACTCGTTACTAATACACTCGTTACTATTTATAGCAAAACGATGAACCTGGCAGTTTTCTGCAGGAAGATGCACTCATTTCGTTTTTCRTTTCGTATCCCGTGCGGCGACGCCCTGAGTTACCATGCCCTTTGTCCGTCATTCCCTAGTTTTGGTCAGACCGCGGCCACTCCAGACCGATGCAACATCTTTGCCGGGGATGCCAGTTACCACCATTGCTTRCGCTGGCTGAAGCTCGACGCGCCGACGCCGGCAAACCGGCGTTTGATGATGAGGAAGGCGAAGARGAGACTAACGGAGAGAAGGAAACGGCCATTCTGGAAGTAACGGAGGATGAGGGTAACTCTTGAGAATGACGGGCGTGATTCCGCTGCTTGTTGAGGTCACGCCCCGCCGACGTGTCTTTTCTGTGACATGTGGTACGGCTATGGGTAGCTGCTCTTCTTGTTCGTCGGAGCAAGCGATGCGTCCGCGTTGGAACTCAAAGCTCACAGTTTTGYACTGCAGACTTGTGTGTCCACAGCGGAACTCAAAGGTCGCAGTTTTGCACTGCAGACTTGTGTGTCCACTGTGCCATAGCCGTCCGGCATCAACACGGATGGAGCTTCCTTCAGCTTCTATCCCTACCGGTAGCCGAGATTCGTTCTGTCCTTCCTCGGCCCACCCCAACCCCACCCCACGGCGCCTTTGTTCCACACGCGTCCACCTCCATTTAACGAGCCGAAAGAGCGCGCTCAGAATTGACAGACAGGCCGTTGATACTCGATAGATGTATGTCGGAGGAGATCACCACAATTTCCCAGTGCCAGTGCGGCAGGGAGATATACTAACGGCGTTCTGGAGGGCGGAAGGAGAGGGAGATGCAAT